CTAGAAGCATCTCCACTACTCTGGGTACCTAAAATGATGTCCCCAAACGGGGTGAGATAACACATCTCAGTAAGCTCAAGGTTCATAGAGGATCCTCTAATCCCCTGAGCCCACTTCCTGCATGATAAGTCAGATATAAAGCATATAATACAGGCATACAACATAAACATAGCATCATCATATCATCCTTGTGTAACCCCAGGGTCAAAGCCATAGACGGTCCACACAACCTCAGTATGAAATAGCTCCCAGAGTCAAGTCATAGGCAGCCTACATACCATGATCACTGGCCAGGATTCTCATAACATATATCATCAGTGCATCATCATAATATCAAGAATCATATAACATATATATGAATGTGAATGAATACACATATACATTATACCATTGTTTATGGGTGTAGTTTAGGAATTTTTAAGTTTGTTTCTTTGTCATTTCTTTAGTTAATTAGTCCCTACACTTAATTAATCCACTAATCCATGATTTTCTTATTTTTAACACAACTGATCCACCTTACACTCAAGAGGGCAGATTTGATTAGTTAGGGTTATTAGGGTTTTTAGCCATCTTTAATCAAGATTAGTAGGTTTCACTTAGAGATAACCCACTTAGTTAGTCTTTCTTAGTTCCTCTTGGGATTTTTCCACACTTAACAACTTCTTAACATTTTTAGTCATCAAACCCTAGTCTTCCAAGGAAAGGCTGAAATCTTCATGTGTCCTTTTAGGGTTCATGTTCATCTTTTTACATGAAATCCTCACAAGGATCCCAAGATTGCACATTTACACATCAAACCAACCCTTTCTTAGTTCATAACTCAAAAACCCTCAAGAACAACCATCAAGAACCCTTTTTTAAAAAAATTTAACAATATTTTTCCCACCCACAAAGCAAAACCGAGAATGAAAGTGAGGAGAGGAGGGATTTTTGGGTCATATTTTTCCAAAGTTGTGCTTACTTCTTCAAGCTCACACTTTTAGCTCCAAGCTTCACTTTGTCCAACAAAAATGCTCTTTTAAACAAGAATACACCTTCAAAAATATGCTCAAGAGTTAGAGCTCAAGAACACAAGAAAGGAAGATGAGGTTTTTCAAGAAAAATTTAAGAAACTTACACTAAAACTCCAGAGAACCAAGCACACAAGTGGTGTTCTTCAAGAGGACTCAAGAACACAACTTCATGGCTTCATGAACCTTCAAAACCGTGGCTGGACTTAGGGAGGATGAACAAGAAAATTTGCTTCACACCATAAAAATTATATGGTTGTGAAGAGGAGAGTGAGGGGAACAAGTTTTGTGAAGGAAGTTTGGTGATTTAGTGAGGTTTAGGAGTAGAGATTCTAGAGAAAAGTGAGAGCAAAGTTAAAACTTTGAATTTGAGAGAGAGAGGGGGAGATGGGCGGCTGGAATATGCAGCCCAAGGGAGGGGAAGATGCCCTAATTAGGGTTGTCATGTCACTTTAGTGACACTTTGTCCTATAATGAAACCCAGTGTAATTTTTATTTGAACTGTTATCAAATTTCTATCCGGAAACACCCAAGACTCTAACTTTAAGTAATTAATATTAATTTTGTCTAATTATCATGTTCATAAGTTAAAAATTTGATTAGTAGATCACAGATCCAGTAACAGCTATTTAATGGCACTGTAGTCTTTACCGGTGTTCTTAACTGTATCCGGATTTCATAATCTTCTCAACTTTAATATTATTGGTCTAATTATGACTTGTTAAGCATATATTAGTCTTTCTTTCCATTTTCTCATCTTTTTCCCGTTCTGGGATTCTATCGGTTGCTTCTACAGCAATGCAAAATACCCGGCAAAAGTGACTTTTCCAAAATACCCCAACATGGGTATCGAACTTCATTAAATCATATACTAACCTCATCTATGATAATCATATCATCTATGCTAACTTGGAGCTATTCTACTGATTGTTACTGCGTCACCAGTCAAAAATAACAGATGAAAATTCATCTGTGTACAATACCTTCAATATGGATATCAAAATTCTTAGAATTTCATCCTAATTTCATTTATGACCCTAAGGTCTTCCTAATAATCCACTAATTTCAAAATTATAAAATTAGGGTTATTATAAGTGTGTTGTAGCGCACTCAGATGAGTGTTTATTGTTTCTAAGCACATTTTAGCGTCTTCTAGCGTGCTTGAGTGAGAATTTTCTGATTTCTCTAGCGCGCTATAGCATGCAAACTCATAGAGAAATTGTCTCTAGCGTGCTCTTCTCAAACTTGAAAGGTTATTTTTGGAGCAATAAACTTCCTTCCAAGATACATATACTTTTAAAAGTACCTGATTGACCACATCAACAATTTCCCATGATACTCAAGCATACATATACATATATTTGCTCCAAGGATTCAATGTTTTTGGCAACAAGCCATCATCTCATTACAATATTCTTCTTGATATCAAAATAACCAAAAGTCAAGGTATACATCATACTTGGCCTTTCAATTAGATGCAATTACAACCAATATACATTTCATTCACTACGGCATTCTCATATACATCTTCGAAATAGTTCTATCATGTATCTATATCCCAAAATATGCCAAATCAAAATGTAAAACCCTCAATTGTAGACATTCCTCGAATTTTATTCTTCATTTAATTCATAAATTTTTTATATTTTAAATTACCATAAATATTAGTTACATTTTAAAAGTAAGAATTATATTTAAAATAAAAATCAAAGGGTGAAAATAAAATAAAATCAATAGATAGTTAAATAAATTCTTATGTAATACTTGAAGTGTATGAAATATGAGATGATATATCTACGTGAAATTAAAAAATTCTTTTATTAATCGATGAACCCATAGAAAAAAAATTCTTTTATTATATATACTATCATACATGCATTAAACAATATCCCATAGCAAAATGGAAGAAAATAAAAAATAGCATTTGACTTGTAACGTAGTGGGGGATTAATTAAGCTGAATATTCCTGTGTTTTCTTTTCTTGTCGCATGTTTTCTTAGGATTTCTCAGCAACCAAACAAGCAAGACAAGGGAGAAAAGGGAAAGAGGATAAGGGGAAAAAAATACAAGGGAAGAAGAAGACTGTTAAATTAATAAATTTCTTAATTTCGCAGTTTAAGTGTGGAGAGAGTGCTCGCTTTGCATGCGAGAGATACGGGTTTCGATACCCAGCATCTCGAAAAATTGTGCTTTTGTTTTGTGGCTTTCGATGTTAAATCCGGAAATCTCTATCTCTCTTTATGTGACATTTTTTTTAGGGACGTTTAGTAGAGAATTCTTTTTTTTACCATGAAAATGTAATTATTAGAGATATGGTGAGAAATGAAATTTGGTAGGCAAATTAAAAAAAAAGTTATTTGGTTGACCAAAATTTTACTGAAGAAATTGAGTAGAATTTTATAAATCTATGTTTGGTTGAATGTAAAATATTGGTGAGAAAATATGGTTAAATTACCACAACAACCCTTGACTAAAATAAAATAGGAAAATATGGTTTTAGTTTGTTGTAGTTTTTCCAAACATCAGGGTTATTTTGGTCTCCTTGCTTGCAATTCCTTTTGGATTTTCCATCTATCAGTAAATACCATCTTGTAGGTGGTATTACTCAACAATAATTTTTACACCCAAAAAGCAAATACTAGGCAAATGAGTTCCCTAGCAAAATTTTTTAAAACATGATACCAAACATGGACATCCAAAAATACCACTTCTATTTGCCTAGCTATCCTTAACAAAATCTTCTACCAAACACATCCTTAGAATTAACCTGACTCTAATTATTTCTTGAGTAAATACCCTGTTTAGTCCTCAGCAAATTTTATGGTACCCACTTTAGTCTCTAGCAAATAAAAAGGCCCATCGTGGTCTCTAAAAAATTCAAAATGGACCCATTTAGTTGAAATCGTGGTCCCTCACAAATTCAGAAAAGACCCATATTAGTCCTCAAAAAGACTAAAATGAGTCCATTTTGAATTTTTTAGGAACCACGATGAGCCTTTTTATTTGCTAAGGACTAAAACGGGCATCGTGAAATTTGCTGATCATCAAAAATGGTATTTACTCTTATTTCTTTGTGTTTTTGAATATTTTTACAAAGATTCTTTGAAATGATTACGAGATTAATCTGAAATATAGGAGGTGAGAAATGGGTCAATAATAAAAATATTTAAACCTCTCCAGAAATAACATGTGAGCATCATACCAATATTTTTTACTTTTCAGTAACCAATATTCTTTACTTTCCAGTTACTCACTTAAGGACTTATTTGGATGATTTTTTTTCTCTAAAAGCTATTGTTTTCAGGAAAAAAGTACTTTTTACTTTAAGTTCGTTTAGATGTCTGCTTTTAGAAAAAAAAAGTCACAAAAAGCTAAAAATCTACTTTTTTTTTAAAGTTAAAAATTTTAACTTCTAAAAAAAGTAGAATTCAAAAGCAAGATATTTTTTTTAAAAAAACTAAATATTTTTATAAAAATATAAATAACTTTAACTTTTGTAAAAAGTATTTTTAAAATAAAGAAGAGATAAAAGTTATTTTTTTTTAAGGTGAAACAAACAGACTCTTGGGCCAACCGAAAACTACCACCATTTGGGTTCTCTCTCGCATTATTTGTGAATTTTTTGGTTGTTTTATTAGAAGCATCATTTATGACACTTTTTTTTTCCTCAGAAAATAGATTATGAAATGACCATCTGCATATTTTGACTGAAATGGTACTTACAATAGTGTTATTAATAGCTTACAATAGCAATCTATCAGTTTACAATAATATTTACAAATTATATACTAACTATTATTACATAAACAGAAATGAAAGGCCAAACACTTGATTCCGCAAGAGTTCTAATCAACACAACACTAAAACCATGTTCCTTTGGCCTTTCTTTGATCTTGGTTAGTAAATAAATAAATATATCAATCCATATGAGACAAAACAAGGCAAGTGAAATTGAAGAAAGAAAAAAAAAGAAAAAGAAACAACACAAACACACACACATCACTACTCCTTCTCCTTGTTCCACTCATGAGTCATGACAAATTGAAACGAATTTAATTAGTTCCTACTCTTAAGACATATCATATCATTCATTCCCCTTTCTAAATTTCAAACAATGTCAATAGCTACTTCACATCCCTCTATTTCTGCAATTGCCACTGCTATCCCTTCTTCTTCTTCTTCTTCTTCTTCTTCAAAATCTTCAAAATCTTGTTCTTATTCTTCACTATTCCATGTTCACTTGAAATCCTCAACCTCCAGATGCATGAGACGCGCATCCTGCAGAGCCATGGTTCAGCAAGCCGTTCAGGGAGCTCCAGCAGCGTATGCCAAGGAAATGGAACGCCTTTCAGCCAAAGAATCGCTTCTTCTTGCTGTCAGTGCCAACTTTGGTTTTGTTTTTGGTTTCATTTCATGTTGTGTTTGGTGGTATTTTCCCATTTCCCTTTCTCTGTTTTTTTTTTATTTTACCATTTTTGTTAATAAAGAAACAATTTTGCTGCATTTTTGGATAATGGGTAGGGCTCTGAAATGAATGGTAACCCTTGTTTATTTTTATTGCATTTTTTTTTAATAAAGAAACAAATTGGCTTCATTTTTGGATAATGGGTTGGGCTCTGAATGGATTCTAGCTCTAGTTTTCTTTCATTTATTTAGTTTTGTTGTTCTCTTTTGGTAAGCAGAATGAGGAGGGAGGAAAATTGGAATGAAAATTACTAGCATGTACGTGTTAGGTACTAGGTTCACTGTCAATTTTCATTCCTCTCGTTTTCCTTACCCCTTTTTGACTCCCAAACAAATGCTTCTAGTTTGTATTTCATTCTTACTTATGCCTATAAAAAGGAAAATTCTGATGCAATCATTCTATATTGTTGTACTAATGTGCAAGTAGTGGAATGTAGAATATAGTGTTTTAAATTTGTTTTCTCATCTTTTCCTATTTAATCCTTGATGCTCTTGCCAAAGAACCATGTAATATGGATTCTATTAGTGAATTGCATCTGTTGAGAACCCATGTCCCCCCACTAGAAAGAAAGAAGCAAACAGACAATAAAACGAAGATATAACTTACTTAAATACAAAAAGGAGTAATTTGATAATATTGTTTTTGCAAATCATCAAGCTTGGACTCAAAGATACTTACTCTTGAGGCATCCTTTCAGTTTAAAGATGCAGGGGGTTTTGAGGCCTTAGTATCCGGGAAGACGAGTGATATGCAAAAAATTGATGTAAATGAAAGGATAACTGGTCTTGAGCGACTTAATCCCACACCTCGCCCCACAACGTAAGTGACTAAGAATATCCCTGTCCATGCTTCTGTATGAGACATTCATGAATTTTTATGCTACAGGTCACCCTTTCTGGAAGGACGATGGAACTTTGAGTGGTTTGGTTCTGGAAATCCTGGGTTGTTTGCCACTAGATTCATATTTGAGTGAGTTCTCTCTTTGAAGATTTGTTTTTATCTTGTCAATCTTTGAGTTTCCCTTGTGACTTCAGATTGTCCGCTTTTGATTATAATTCTAAGGGTTTTCAAATCTGCACTTAAATTTGGATTGATCTCATTGGTGATTAACAATGCTCTTGTATGCTTTATATCTTTGCAGGAATTTTCCTTCAAGTTTGGCTAATTTGTCAAAAATGGATGTCTTTTTTAAGGATGGAAATGCAAAGATTACTGCAAACATGAGATTATTGAACTCGGTATATATTTTTAGTTTTCAAGTTTTTTATGCATGCACAATTACAAATCTTACTTCAGCATTCAGGAAGTATTGCAAGCTTCTTTTTTGATTTGCTGGCAGCTTAAAAATTGAAACCCATTCCCCTCCCTATTAAATATTAATACTGTATTTATGTTAAGCATTTCGCCCTTTCCAATTTTCATAGGGACTTCTATGTGAATTAAATGGTTTGTTTTTTCTTTTTTCTTTTCTATGAGGTTTACCAACTCAAATTTTTTTTTTTTGTGTGTGGAGAACTCAGATTGTTTTAGCATGGTTGTCTAATTATGCAGCCAAGTCACAGCAACCATGCATTTTCACCTCTTGATGCTTACGGATGAACAATTTTCAGTTAAAATTCACTTTATATTGTACTGCCAACAAAAATATACAATGTAAAGTAAATTTGAACTGGATACTGTTCATCCGTAAGCATCAAGAGGTGAAAATGCATGGTTGCTATGACTTGGCTACATAATTAGACAACCGTGCTAAAACAACCTGAGTTCTCCACCAAAATAAATAAATAAATAAATAAACTGAGTTAGTAAACCTCATGAGAAAAAATGCAAGGGCGAGCCTTGGAGTAGTAGTAAGGTTGCTTCTTATGACCAAAAGATCATGGGTTCGAGTTTGGGAAACATCCTCTTTTGCCAAAAGGCAAAAGTAAGGTTGGGTATAATCGACCCTCACCCTACCCTTGCAAGTCTGGGAGCCTTGTGTGACGGGTTTGCCCTTTGTATTGCTAACGAAATTTTTAGCTTACATCTTTGACTTATTGATTATGCCTGGAAGCAACCTTTATGTTCATTTAATACCTAGGTGATCTTGAAAAAGGACATTGATAGGATGCTCCTAAAGGTATAAGCTAGGAAGAGTTACAAGGGATTATTGGATAAGGAAAATGTTGTTAGTAAGAATATTCTAGAAGGTTGAGTCTGTTAGAGGAGAGAAGGAAGTAATGCTGAGGTGGCAAAGCTATTAGAGGCAATAAAAGGTGAAGAGTGGGAGAGGAGGAGAAGGCTGGAATTTGGGAGTTCTTGGGAGAGATCAGTGCCTCTAAAATTGCACTGAACCAGCCTCTGGAATTACTGTAGTTGATGTTCTTATTTTAATTCTGCATTTATCATTTTGTCATAAAAACCTTGTTATTGTATTGTTTCCATTGATTAATATACAGAAAATCCAGTTCTTTTGGGCCATTTCTCTTGTGTCAGTTGCGTTTTACTCTGATAATTTGTTAGATCCTATCAATTGGTATCAGAGCACTCCGATCCTAGGGGTGCTTTGAACGGTTTGATGCGTGCCATGGAAATTCGTTTGGAGATCATAGAAGAGATGATGAGGAGGAGTGAGGAGCAAACAGAAGAGCGTTTCCGCAGAACAGAACAAAAATTGAATGAGATTGAGCAGCTTTTGCGTAGCAGGAGACGATCTAGTCGAAAACACCATCGTCATGGTCCGGCTTGCAGGAGGAGATCAGGATCGGTGAAATCAGAAGAGAGTGTCTACAAAGACGTTCACCTCGTTGATTGGCTAACCCCTAAACATTACAGCTCCCTGAAAGCTAGGGTGATGTTCCTCTAAAAATCCTTAAGTAATCACTGCAGTTAAGTGAAAATCACCTAGTTGAAGGTCATTTGCATATATATATATATATATATATATATGAACCACAACTTCTTTGTTACGTTTTCTGTCTTTTCTCTGATGACGTGTTGCCTAGAGATCCATGACTATTGTGAGCCTAGCAACAATCGATTGGGAAAAATGATAGTCATGTGAGCGAATTGGATGCAGTTCAGTCCTGTCTTTATGCACTAGAAAGTGGGACACACACAAAATGTCTGTCTATAAAAAGTTAAAAGATGATGAAGGTACTGATAGAATATTAATTAGAGATAATTACAATATTTACAGCACTCTCCCTCAAGCTGAGGAATGAATGTTTATCATTCCCAGATTGTCAGTGAGTTCTTGAAATCTGTCTATAAGAAGTCGCTTGGTCAAGACATCAGCTAGTTGATGACCAAAAGAAATATATGGAGTAATCATCAGTCCGCTATCTAGTTTCTCTTTGAAAGAGTGTCATCTTGTGTTCAGTAGTAGTTAGGTAAAGTTAGTTTGAGAATCCATCCATATAACTTTTCTAAATTTCAAGTTCAATTTATTTCTAGTTTGTACTTTTCTTAAAAGCTATGATATTTCCTACACAGTACATTATTGTATGGTTTTCATGTTGTGTTGTCTTCTCTATTGATTGTGTTTGAGTAATTAACATTCCAGTAGTTTTAATCTCTGTTCGCTTTGTGATCAAATGTAGATAGAAAGCAAAGTTGTTCTCTCAACGAAGTTATCTGTGGAGGGGCCACTTAGAATGAAAGAGGAATATGTTGAAGGGGTTCTTCTGTCACCAACAGTTATTGAAGATGGAGTACCAGAGCAGCTTAAAGGTGCACTTGGACAGGCAGTTAATGCTTTACAACAACTTCCTGCCCCTATACTTGATGCTGTTGCCAGTGGGTTGAAAGTTCCTCTAAGTAAGCTATCACTAATTTTCTATATTCATCTCTGAACAAGTCGTTCTGGGAGATATGCACAATCTGTTGAATTTTAGTTTCACTATGCACAGCCAATATTATATGCTTAACACATGAAATCTGTAGAAGCAATAGGTTGGGAAATGCCTTATCTCTATAAATCTGAACTTTCATGTATGTTTCTATTATTTCTATTATTCAGGATATTAAAGAATGTGTTATACCACCTTTACAATCCATTTTTTTGCTGCCTTTGCTTGGCATTTGCCAATAATGGTAATGCCTTGTAACTGATATTTTTTACCTGTTTTCTGAATAATTAAAGATACATATGGCTCGTTATAAAAAAGAAGGTATTTGTGGCTAAGGGTGTAAATAGGCTGGACTTGGTTGAACTTAGCCTAAATTGGCCAAGCCCATGTAGAATATTTTGAGTCTGGACTGACATGTTTTTAAAAAATAATAGACTAGGCCTACCATAATTTCAATTGTAATAAATCAAATATGGATTGCTTAAAAAATTAAAATACAAGAATAAATATGAACAACTCCTATGACTACCATTTAATCTCCTCAAAACATTTTTCAATGAGAAGTTAGGGAAACATAAGTCTATCTTTGCAAATTTGAGTGTTCAACCACTTGCAATCCTAGACCATAGAACAGCACAATCCCAGCCAATTGGAGTAGTGATAGCATAACCTACAATTGCAAGTAACACTAAATAGGCTAGCTTGTAGACTATAAAACTAGGCTTTTAAAATAGGCCGATGGCTTAGTTGTTAAGTAAACCTTTTATGGGGCCCAGGCCTGCTCTGTTTTACTACTTAGGCGAGGTCAGCCTTTGAATGAGGTAGGCCAGTCGGAAGGCCCCTGATAGGTCATTTGAGTAGGGTAGATATCTAAGAACAATCATGAAGTACGTTTGTAGATATGCACTTAGATATTATCCACTGATTTTACTCTCACAAAATATATATGCAGATAGATAGGATATGCAAGAAATTATGTAACTGACTTATTATTATAATGCGTGTGGAAAAAATGCATATTCAATCTCCACTTTTTATGAAAATTTCATTGTGAAAAACTACATTAATATTTTCTCTTGTGTATGAAGGTGGCAGCTTTCAGAGACTCTTCATGATTTCTTATCTTGATGAGGAGATACTAGTAAGCTTTTAATATACTCTCATTCGGGAATCAATTTTAAATAAATTTGATGCATGTGTACCCTTATTGATGACAATGCTGATAAAGCTAACCTTAAATCTCAAATTTTGACGCATGCACCAAAAAGCACAGATATGGGTACTAGACCACTAGTATTGAATCTAATAGCATATATATATATATATATATATATATATATATATGGGGAGGGATCATTTGACTCAAGAGTAAGACTTAAAAATCTTACTCTTCATCGCAGCCGTTGATTTCCGTTCATCTAACGCTTATAATTAATTGTTATAATTTATTAAATGATAACCATTAGATAAACGAAAATCAACGGTTGCAATGAGGAGTAAGACTTTTAAATCTTACTCTGGAGTCAAAAGAACCCTCCCCTATATATATATATATATATATATTATATATATATATATATATATATATATATAAATTCTTGTGCAACTTAAAAGTTTGCAATTGGAGTTTTGGATATAAGTCTTATTTGAGTTGTCAAATTGGAGTATGGAGACATATATTCTCTTGATTTGGCAAAGAATAAGATGTATTTAAACCTTTGGTCATACCGAGTTAACGGACCCAACTAGTTTAGGATAAATGCGATGATGATGTTGATGTTGGACATTCTGAGTTATGACCTTGGTTTTCAGCATTCTTAATCCTTTTTGCATGAAAAGCAGTGCAAACAAATTCACCAAAATAAATAAAGTAGAGATTGTTACAATGCCTCTCGAGGAGCTTCTAGCATCTCTTGTGAACATCTCTGAATTCTGGTAGGGTTACTTTTCCTCGCTATGATATTTTGGAGAGTCAAATGCAGCTCAGGGTGTATTCAGTCTTGAAGGGAAGGCCTCAATAATGATAACATGTTATCATATGATATGCAAGTTGCATTATTTTTGCTGCTTTATATAAGTGCTATCACTAAAATTGATTTAGACAGATAATTCTCGTAGATATCCTCTTAATTGTTATAGCTGGTTTTAAATGTCACAATAAAAAGAATCACTCTCTACTAACGAGGTAGGGGTAAGGACAATCACTCTCTATTTGTTAACTTATGATTTGCCTTTGATGCAATGTATATAATGCCATTTTTTTTCTATAATTAAATGAACTAGCGGTTATATCGTATGAATGTTTATGCTGGTTTTGATGCACAGATAATAAGGAACACAGCTGGGATGCCTGAAGTTTTAACGAGGCTAGATGCACCACCATCTTCATTGGGAGAATCAATTCCAGAGTATGAAAGCTAAGAACTCCGTACATGGAAAGTGAAATTTTATTCCACTTGTTCATGATGGTGAGTCAACTTCCTGTACCTCTCAAGCCCCTTCGTGCCCATGAACTGCTTCTGTTTCTTTCTCACTGAAAACCCTTTTTGGTTCTTCTATAGAGGGTAGAATGTGAGAATATGAAAGTGTCAATTTGAAGCTGACACAATTTCTTAAAAATACCTTGTATTTCATGCTTAGCTTCACAACAAAGTGGTTCTGTAATGTAAAACTTGAGTAACGCTACTCATACAACCGACAGTGAAATAAAAATAAAAATAAAATAAAATTCTGCCTGTGATCCTTATAGATATTCCACAGAGATTCACTGGCCTGTGTACTTGTTTGGTTTTCTTCTCATTTTTATTTTAGTGTACACAACCAATTGTGTCAGTATCAATGATTCTGTAAAATATTATACAATTTTCAACTGAGATTTACTTGGTTTTACTTCTCTTCATATGCTAACCAAAACAAAACTGTAGTTGGTGCGGTGCTATAAGAATATTACTTTTTCATTGATATGAAAATTTGGACTTTGATGTACAAATTCAACTGGCAGAAATGAAGGTGATACCCAAAAATGGGCCCAGGTCTTTGTCATAAGGAAAAAAGTCCAAGACCAAAAATAAAAATTATAGGGAACAGTTGAGTATGAAAATGTGTGGGAACGCAAAGACTTATTATTTTTTGGTAAAAAGATATCCAAGAGTTTTATCCCAAAGAATTGGGGAGAAAAAAGTCCAAGACCAAAAATAAAAATTAGGGAACAGTTGAGTATGAAAATGTGTGGGAACGCAAAGACTTATTATTTTTTGGTAAAAAGATATCCAAGAGTTTTATTTCAAAGAATTGGGGAGAAAAAATAAATAAAAGTTCCAATATGAAATCTATCACAATGCCAATTTGACTAATGGATGCGATGTGTGTATTGGGAACAATTTTATCATGTTACATGAGCTTTCTTAATCCTTTATAGATAAAGGGATTAGTACTTGGAACAATTTTTTCATGTTACATGAGTTTCCTTAATTCTTTATAGATAAAAAGGATTAATACGTCTATCAAAAAAAAAAAAAAAAAGGATTAATACTTCTGATATTATAAGAAATGATTTTATCTATTATACATATATAAAAGTGTATTAGATTTATATATATATATATATTTTTTTTTTTCATACGGTCTCACATGAATTCAATATATTTTTATGGGTAATATTACTCTCATGTTACAGAGAGAATTCAAGTAGGGCCCGTTATTTAAAAGCAAAAAGAAAAAAGAAAAAGAAGGGGCATGATTTTTGAAGTGAAAAAAAGGAGATAACTACCTCATGTAAAATGAGAGTAGTATTTCCCTATTTTTATATGTGTGTAATAAATAATTTTATCTTTTATAATATGAAAAATATTAATCTCATAATTAGTGGTTATATTCTTCTTATTTTCTATTTTAAATGCTTTCTATAATCATCGTTAATTTGTTTATGAGATTAGTATTTATTATATTATAGGAAATAATTTTATCTTCTATACACATATAAAAGTGTGTGAGACTTATATTATTTTTCTCTCTTATCTTCACATGAATTTCACATATTTTTATGTATGTGTAGGAGATAAAATTATCTCCTATAACATAAGCAATTATAAATAGCTATACGCATTGCATGTGTTATGGCAAAATGCACATGCTTCAGCATAAGCATCATGATGATTGATGGAATTGTGGTCTTCATTGTTTAGGCTAATTAAGTTTCACGTCATTCGGTAACAAGTTGCTCCACTACTTCATAGTTTGACGGGGGTGGCATTTTGTATCAATATTTTTGTGCAATGTGAATGTCTTTGACAACAACTAGTAATAACGTACGCCACCTCTGACAAAAGTTAAATAAATTGCTATGTTGTCATAATGATCAATCTCATCTTTACCTAGAGCCACAACTTGCTCTAAGGTCAAGTCAAGCCAAGCCTTCACCAACTCTCGAGCCTTAAAATAAATAACTTACGACAATATTTTGGAATATAGCATCTCTACACTACAGTATGCTTCCATAGGGGTGTCATGAACCTTTTTTTTTTTTTTTTTAATCTCCACAGCACCATTACAAAAGTAGAAAAAACAGATAACTTAGTTGATTGATTATTTAATCTTTATTTTTTTATCATTTCCCCTTTTTAAATTATATATGAATCTCCCTTTTAAAAAAAAATATATATACCAATTTATTCCTTTTTTATCAGTTTGACCTCATATACTCGAGAGGTTATTTAATTTGGTGTTGGTATCAATCAAATTTTAGTCCAATGGGGATAACTTAGTAAATATTGTTACATTGATTTATTCACCAAATTAAGGATAACTTTTGCATGAAAATAGTTTTAAAATCACTATGTTGTGATATTAAATTGATTTCTTTTGTTGATAAAAAATATTATTTGAGCACAAACTTGATATTACTAATCTTTTTAAACGAAATTAATGTTTCAAAAATATTTAAAGGATCAAATTGTGGGTTCATTATTTGGAAAACGACAACTTTTAAAAGAAAAATCACATATGTCATCTGCCATAAATTTCAAATATATATGAAACATTTTGCAACTTAATTTGAATAATATAGAGACCCCACTAAATTAATATTGCAATATGAGATCACCAAATTTAATGACTTCATGTAGCTGCTTTATAAGTCATCCAACTTTTTATTTTTTATTATATTTTATTTTTTTTAAGAAAAAGAAATCATCTTGCATTTAATATACCGTTGCTTGCTAGCTAAAATCAGATCAACCGATTTAGCCATGAACGACACTTAACTGATTATGATATGCTTTGTAACTGAAGTAACAGTTAGAAAACTTTAGACAAGTCAACCATTAATATATGTTTGAACAAAATGTTTTTTCATATTTCATAAGTATTTTTTATATATTTCAATCTTAATTATTTAATTTGTGTGACATTATTCGGTTTAACCAATCAATATAAATGATTGAACCTGCACCCAAAATTGTACCAGTTCATTGTTTGGTTCGATTTTAATATTGAAATATATGTTTTAAATTATATAAGATACCCATATTCAAAAGTTGCATAGTGAATTTGTCGAACGGAAAAACTAAATCTTATTGTGAAAATAAAATATCTTACAATTTCTACCAAAACTTCCTACTAAAATTAGCTATATTCATATATATATTTGATTTCATAATATGTTTTTATGACATCAATTCTGTCGTTTAAGCTTGAGAATTTTGGATATAAACCATAATTTAAAACCCTCTTTTTTTAACATTGAAAAAGTTTAAGTGAAGTTAGATAACAATATTTCACTAGGGTTAGAGAAGATCCTTAACTTCTTTGAAAATTTTCAGGAGGAATTACATATTATCTACCAACAAAATCTTAATCTGTAGTGGCGACCATTTGACATTTACCGAGCCAAAATTATTACATCAATGACTTTGACGTAGTGATTTACAACAATAAAACAAGAAGTATTTATAACAATTTATTTATATTTGAATTAATGATATATTAAGAAAAGTAAAATTGTGGCTAAATGAAAAGAAACCTAATATATATAATTATGAGGAGGGTTATATTGGCAAACTTTTTTTTACAAACTTACAAATTACATTATGTCTTACCTTCACTTAAGAGCGTCTTACAGATAAGACATAATATAATTTATAAACAAAAAATTTATAAATATAATATTTTCCTATAATTATATAGAATAGATAATATCAAAAGAAAAAAGTAGGGACAGTCACACCACTGATCACACGCACACATATATGCCTACAGGAACAAATAACCATTCAGTGACTATACAGATCTTGAAGATTAAATAAAATAAGAATTATATTTATCTCATTTTGTATGAGAGAAACAAATTTTCTACACATAAGAAGAGAGGTGAGTTCCACTTCTTTTTTCTCTCTCTTCTTTTACTTGTGGTTCCACTTATAATTTTTTTTCTACAACATGAGATAATAATTTTCCTATAATATAACACAATTATTTCTCATAAAATAATTAGTTTTATTTATTTATTGGCAAGTAACGAAAATGCCCCTTTCCCCCCTCAATTATAACCTAAATTAGTTGATGAAATTAAATCCAAGGTGTTAGTCGTTGGCAAAAATACATAAGGGAACAAAAATAAGAAAATAAAAAATTAAAGACATAAAGAGATAAAAATAAAAATATACATAAAGAAATAAATAAGATAAGAAAAATACTTAATGAAGTAGGATAAAAATTGGCGGATGGTATATCTTAGGATAGATTGGGATAAGAATTTCAGTGGTCCTGAATCACTATTAATTCAGTGCTCCAGACCAATCAAAATCAGATAATTATTGAGGAGAAAGGAGAAAAAAAATTTTTTTTGTCCAAATGTGACTCCCTGAATGGAAGGATTACATGGAGCCTGGAACACCAAATTTTTTTGCACGGATTGGAGGGAAGTTATTAGTATTGTGGATTGTTAGATTCTTTTTAATTTCTATATTTCTGATGGTCTATTTATAGCCATTTTCCCTTATATCTCCCTTTATTTCTTTCTTTACCTCTCATATTTTTTGAAAAAAATATTCTCTCAATTTTTTCTCTCGTGTTATTTTTTTATCTCTCTATTTCTTTAATTTTTTATTTATTTTCTTATTCTCTTATTTTTTCCGTCTTATGTATTTTTCTCTTTTAGGTATCTTTATTTTAGTTTATTTTATTTTTAAAAAAATTATTCATTGTTATTTTTTTAATGTCTAGTGTTATTTATATTTTTTTATTGTATTTTTATTCTTTTTTCCTCAAGATTTTCCTACTTTTTATTTGAATTCATATGCCATTGATGCCAACTAATATGTAATAAAAGTATCGTTGATGTCGATGTTAGTCCCTGTGACACTCAAGAAGGGATATGTTAAGGTATAACATTTTTTTTTTTTTTTATAAATCATCCTGTATTTGATCGCCGATGGAGGTTTAATAAGGGTGACAAAACTCTTCCTACCAAATTTTAATACAATTGTATATCAAAATTCAAATTTGAGACAACTAGTCAAGTTGAAATAAGCCCCCCTCCCGAGTTGGTTCACCCATTTGGTGATAAGGCATATAGTTTAACACAACGCCTTGTTATAACGATAGGATATCCTAGTCTAAAATCATCCCTTTTGCTTTGGTACAATGTACGTAATATCCTCCCAATGTATTGTATTAAAAAGGCTTTTAAAAACAAAGCCATATAAAAATGGTCGAAGAGATATAATTCAGCCAATATCTACTCTTTTTAAGTTTTAAAACCCCAGCTGTTGTTCCGAAATTCTTATAAAGAATTCCAACTTGGGTACGATTGGATATGGATGCCCTGTGTGTACAATTAGGGATAGCTTACTAAACTAGAATAGCCACCTTAACAGAAGCATATGTATTATTTTTTTATTTTGACATGAAACTTGCACATAAATTTCTCTTCATTATTGTGTTAGACAATAAAATAAGAAAAATGTATAAAAATAAACCGCATACCAACATGTATTCCTTTGCACGTTCTTGTTTTATTCTTGCAAGGAAAGCATTATATATATAAGGTTATACTTATCTCATTTTACATGAGATAAACAATTTTCCTACATACACAAAAAAAGGTTGGGTCTCATCATTCTTTTTTCTCTCTCCTCTTACTTGTGGGTCTCACTTGTAATTTTTTTTCTACAACATGAGGTAATTATTTTCCTACAACATAAGAAAAATATTTCCCATATATATATAAAGGGTTTGATGTTTGTCATTTTTTTATTTTTTTTGATAACATGATGTTTGTCATTTTAAATGACATAAGTTATGTTATTTTAAGAGAGAGATAGAAACAAGAAATGGAAATCATGGGAGAGAAAGTGGTTGGTTTTTTATTTAATTTAAATTTTAAATAAAAAAATTTATTTTGTGTCTATCTCTATCTTAAAATAACATAACTTTATGTCATTTAAAATGATAAATATTTTCTCATATATATATATATATCTATATATTCTCTTTCTTATGTCACATGACATAATATCTCTTATATCATAAATACAATAACTGGTGAGACTCACAACTTGTTATAAAAAGAAAAAAGAATAGTACGGATTTTGATGCCTCATAATATGAGAAAACTATTTTATATATTGAATGAGAAAATAATTTTCGATATAAGAGATATTACCGGTAAGTCATTCTCGAGTAAAGTCTTACCAATAAGATATAGTATAATTTGTGAATTTGTAAAAAAAAAGTTTGTTAATATAACACTCTATATTTAGGGGAAGGTCATATTTACAAACTTTTTGTTTACAAACTACACTAAGCATGACCGGTCATACTTCAATCAAGAGTGTATGACCGGTCATACTTAGTGTAATTTGTAAAAAAAATTTATAAACGGATCCTTTCTGTATGTCTGTCTGTCTGTCTGTCTGTCTCTCTCTCTCTCTCTCTCTCTCTATATATATATATATATATATATATATATATATATATATATATATATATATGAAAAAGTGTTTGTCCTTTCAAATGAAACAACTTATATCATTTCATTCTCACAAAGAGGTGAGACCCACACCTTTATTATTATTTTTGTCCGCTCTCTCTCTTCCTTTATCTATCTCTTTCTCTCACTTAAAATGATACAACTTTATATCATTTAAAATGACACATACTTTTCTCATATTTAATGCTTTCATCATTTGTATGATTATGATTCTCCGCATTTAATGCTATATATATATATATATATATATATATATATATATATATATATATATTGAGAAAGGATCCGTTTACAAACTTTTATTATAAATTACACTAAGTATGACCGGTCATACTTCAATCAAGAGTGTATGACCGGTCATATTTAGTGTAGTTTGTAAACAAAAAATTTGTAAATATAACATTCTCCATATATATATATATATGTGGAAAAAATGTATGTCATTTTAAAGGATGTAAAGTTGTGTCATTTTAAAAGAGAGAAAAAGATAGATAAAAGAGAGAGTTGACAAAAAAATAAAGGTGTGGGTCCCACCTCTTTATAAAAGTGAAAGGATATAAGTTGTGTCATTTAAAAGGATAAACCCTTTTTCCTACATATATATATGGGGAAAATGTTTCTGCAGTTATTGCAGATAAGTTATCTGCATTTATTTCCAAAACGACGTCGTTTTTTTATTGAAATCTTAAAAAATTATAAATATAAAGACTATTATAACCCTGAAAAAATTAAAATTACAAAAATACCATGTTTTTCACCCAAAACGACATCGTATTGGGCTTACTTCAGATAAGTTATTTGCAGTAACTGCAGAAAAAGCGAACCCTATATATATATATATATATATACATATATATATATATATATATATATATATATATATGGGTTTTGCATTTGTCATGTTGCATGACAAATGCAAAGTTTCCTACACGTATATCGATATTTGTGCTGTACTTTCTTTTCTTTTCTTTTTATTTTAAACATGGTGGACCCCACACTTATTGTCTCTATAACATGACAAGAAAATTGTCCTACAACATTATACTTGTTTTTCCATATATATATATATGGGACAGGATTCGTTTACAAATTTTTTTTGCAATTACACTAAGTAGGACCGGTCGTATACTGTGTGATTAATGTAGGACCGGTCCTACTTAACGTAATTTGTAAGAGTTTGTAAATAAAAAAGTTTGTAAATATAACTCCGTATATATATACCAAATGTTAGTGTTTGCACGTTCTTGTTTTAGTTGTGTCAAATAATAAGAGAGAGAGAGAACGCGAGTCTCGTAGAAAAGACAAAAAAAATTGTCACTGTCAAAAGAACGAGAAACAAACACTGTCCAATATTAAACTCTAAGAGGATCAAGTCTGGTATATGCGCCGGTGGCATTCACGGCCTGAGCTCTTGCTCCGATCCTTAATTAAAGAACAAAGAGTTGATAAAAAGCAATTACAACTTCACTCATCAATAAATTTTTGCAATTTATAAAAAGTTTAGATTATGGTAAAACACGCGTGTTGTTGTTATCAAAAAAAAAAAAAAAAAAAAAACACGCGTGTTGTAAGAGCTATAAATACCACCATCCTCAATGAAGATTCAATGTAAAAATACATATCACCAATCAATGGAAAAAAACTCGAAAATCAAACCCAACCACGACTAGTGTAGGTGGAAGGTTCGACTAGGTGTGTCAATTTTTATTTAGAAAAATTTAAAACCTTAATTCTGTAATCGTGAACTTTGGATTAGTCTAATTTATCGAATTATCAGGATATTTCTAAAAAAAAATAAAAATTCATTGTCTCACTCTCTAATATTCTTCTTCCTCCAAAAATAGAATAAAATGTGCCCATAATGTCTTTGATTCTTCAGGTCTTTCCTAGAGAAGTGAAATTTAAGAATTAAGAGAAAATTAGGAAAAGGAAATGGATATGAAATTCATAAGTCAGCGCCACTCTATATATCACAAGAAAACCAAAATATTTCATAATCAAATACAAAAGCTATATATGAACCTCCAAAATGAAGAAATTAAGAGATCTATGCATACATCTATATATATGATATATCTCTCCCATAAAAGTTGATGTTCTTCAAAACCCTTGCATGTGAGTGCCATCCAAGGGAAGCAATGGAAATTCACCAAACTCAGAAATAAACCCATCCAAATCCGAGAACCCTCCTAAGTACCCACCAGAACTTTCATCACTACAAACTCCTTCTTCTTCTTTGACTCTCTCTTTTGTTTGATCCAACCCCCAAAACCCACCATTTCTCAGCTCCATTTTCTTTGTGATCATTCTGGGATTCTCAGACATGCCACTACCACTACTATTGCTCCTTGATTCTTCCTCTCTTGGCTTCTTCTTGCAATATTTTTCTCCACTTGGTTTCCCAGTTAACTTTTGCACAAGCTCCCTGAAGTTCTCAACATCGGTCTTGATGATCTCGGGTGCAAATATGTGAATTATACGAATCTTGGGTTTGGTTTTTGATATTGTTTTGGAGTCTTTGTGTATGGATAGGGAAGGTGGGTGTGAATTGGATATGAATGTATGAGTATGTTTCATTAGCTTGTTTTCCATGGAAAAATAAAATTTGAACAAAGGCACAAAAAATAAAAAGAGGGGGCTAGTTAATTTGTGTAGTTGTTAGCTAGAAAGAAAGAAGAAAGGGGACACATATATATATATATAAGGATCATAAGGCACAGACACAGAATAAAAGGACAAGAGAACAAAATAAAAAAGGGAAGTTTTGGAAACAAAATATCAAGCTGTCTGTTGGGAGCAAGGATTAGATGAATCTTGGTCTGACAAATGCAAAGAGAGAGAGTCAATAAAGTAATTGAAACTCAATGGTCCCATGATTCCCCACTTTTGATTATTTTAGATGAAAAAAATGTTAGTTGCTATATATATATGTATATGCATTACTTGTGGGAGGAAATGGATGTGGACACTTTATTTTTATCTTAATTACCTTCCCTGAAATGACTTTAGCATTCCACGTAGATGCAAATCTTTAATATAAAAAAATTAACTACGTACGTATAAATTTTTAGTTAATTTTTTTATAATTATCAACTCTCAAGCACCTATTCATTTAATTCTAAGGTGGGTCACGAACAAATGTTAGGGTCCAGTAACTACGTGGATAGGGTTGTCACAATACGTTGCCACAATATCATTACAACACAAAAATTTGTGTTTGAATTCACTCATATTTAAATTTGTGTTGTATTTATGTTGGTAAAACATGATATGCAAAAAATTGTATCGTGTCAGGTGTTCATACGTAAACCCACATTTGACCAATATTTTTTTTTACTCGTATTTTTTCAACTATTTACTGTTTTGATCAATTCTTATTGTGTCACGTGTCATGCCATGGCACCTCGTACAAAAAGTGATTCGTGTCAGTGTCAAAAACTCATAAATTTCAATTTGTGTGTTATCCGTGTCCTATCGTATCAACCTACAAAATTTACGAGTTGTGTTGATGTTAAAGGTTTTTACACGAATAAAATTTCTTGTCGTGTTCATGTTAATGTATTCGTGTCGTGTCAACACGAATTGACACCCCCATAGATGAATTGATAAGGGTTGTTCCAGCTTAATTAGTGAGCTCAAGTTCGAATTCCTGGAAACGCAGCTGTGTTAAAACTTGGTAGGAAGAACTTTGCTGCCCATGTGGTCCTACCCGGTTCGAATCAAATTAATTGAGTAACCAAAAAAAGAACGAATGTTAAAGTAGCCAAATTAACTTATGAAAAAAGTTACTACATTATTTTGGCAAAATTTGTTGGGAATCCAAAGTGTGAGTAGTGAGGTCCTACGTACATTGGTTAGAAATGGATTAAGTAAAGACCATATATAAATGGAAGGACTCATAAATTAAATGATAAGTGTTTTGACACTATGTTTCTAGGATCAAAAATATATTAAACAATGATGAATATGATCAAGAACATAGTGATAATTAATGAATGCAAGAGATTATAGAGTTCTAATGTTTGGACATGATATTGACTTAAAAACATATTGGTTTTAGGTTTAAATTATTAAATCAGAGCATTGGAGCCAAGCAGAAGCTAGAAGTAGTAAAGCGATACAGGAAGAGCAATGATTTAGTGAAAATCTCCCAGCAATTGTCTTCCAACCAATTTTTAGTATCTAAAATGATGGATTTTTATCTTGTATTCTCATAGAAGTTGTAGATCTTTCTCTTATCTTTCCAACAAGACCAAGATCACATCAATTGGACAAGTATAACTCAAGTTATACCCAAAATACATGTATATTTACTATCAAATCTGCTCGCTGGAGCGAGCAAGGACAACGAGGACGTCGTTTTGAAGGCCTATGGATCTCTTTTATTGTAAAAGGAAGTCTAGGGTCATTCCCATTGATTCTTGTACAACTTGGGGAGCAAGAACAACAAATTTAGGAGAGAAAAAGGCGGAGGAACGGTCAAGGCTTCGCTGTGGAGACCGGTTATCTCGTTCTTTATGCTTTTTCTTTAAGATTTCTCTTCATCTTTTCTACTCTATTCTTGTTTCTACGAACATGTTAGGTTAGTTCTTTTTATATAGTTAGGACGAGACAAAACTAATGGGTTCCTGAACGTTGTTTAAGTGTAATTATTTTTCATGTTTCAATTATGCAATTGTTTTGTTTTAAATTTCTAGTCTCATTTATGATCTGGCTAATCTTGAATTGACATTAGAATCTTGCATGTCAATAGGAATATTTCTTTCTTGATTCCGTTTGGTTAATTGCTAGAGTTTGTATGTTCTAGGAATAGGCTTATAAATTCTACGTCTTATGATTCTTGACCTTAATGCTTGCTTTAGAAAAAGGCTCTAAGGGGTTAGGGCTTTCGACTAAAGTAAAGAACTAAAATTACCAAGGGATTGAAAGTTTAGTTAACTTAGAGAAAATCGTCGATAATTGATCTTGAATGTTAATTGCATGAAAGATTAGATTTGTTAGGAAAACATTGGGGAAGTCGAATCCCTAGCTACGCTCGACTTGAGTTGAATTTAACTCGTTCTTGCGTCTTAGTTATTAATCTTGAAAATCAAAAATAAAGATTTTAAATTTTGATTTTTATTAACCACATTATATTTTAAAGACTTCCAAGATTGATCCAACTTTAATTATATAAATAAAGTATTGCTTGATAAATCAATCTTCGTGGGATCGACAACCCTACTTTTAACACTTTATTACTTGTACGACTGATGCACTTGTCGAAGTCGCAACAATAAACCATCTTAAGATTTTGTATTGAGATGCTATGTTCAAGTCCTCTTATGATAGATGGTTTGTAGCTTAGCCCATTTATAAGTAAATCTCCCAACATATGATTTCCCCATTATCCAACATTGATATGATCTCTTTTGAACTTTTCTTTGTTTGGAAAAATTAGAGAGGTAGAGGGAGAGTGATGAAATTTATAATTTTCTTGTTGTATTATAAAAAAAAAAGCATTTGAAAAAATTAGAGAGGTAGAGGGAGAGAATGGTGAAATTCTTTATTTTCTTGTTGTATTATAAAAAAAAACATTTGGAAAAATTCGAGAGGTAGAGGGAGAGAATGGTGAAATTCATAATTTTCTTGTTGTATTATAAAAAAAAAAAGTTATGTACGAATAATGAAATAAAAGGAAAAACTTTATTGTCACCCATTGTGGTTTTATGATTTATTATTTGACCTCATGTGATTTTAAACTTGTCATTTAGGCTAGGCTTATTGTAGGTAAATAATTTATCGTTTAACCCCTCCGTGGTTTCAAATTTACACTTACACTCACTGTGGTTATAAAAATATATCACTTAAAAAAACAAATTTTATTTTAAGTGATATATCCTCATCTTCCCTCTTTTTTATTTTATGTCATCATCTCACGCATTTAAGGAAAATAAATAAAAATAAATTTTAAAAAAATTCACTTATTTTAATCATGAAAATAAAAAATCAAATATTACATTATTTTTCTATTTTTTTTACACGATGTCGTTATAAAATTATCTAAAGAAAGTAATATCTTATTTTGATAATATATATTGAATTTATCATAAATAATAACTTTTTAATTTTGAAATATTTTTTAAAATAAAATAAAATAAAAAATAAAGATAATTTATAAATTAATTTCAAAATAAATAACTTGGAATATTTTTTAATTTAATATTTAAGTAGTAATTTTATTTGGTAATATCATAATTATATAAAATAAAATTTAGAAAAAGTAAATATTTTTATATTTATAAGACCACAAGGAGTTTAAGTGATATATTTTTGTAACCACAATGAGTCTAAGCGAAAATTTAAAACCATAGATAATTATAAATTATTTAAGAGCAATGAACTTAAGTAATAAATTTATAACAAAGGGGGTTAAGTGCTAAATCATAAAATCACCGTTAGTGAAAATGAAGTTTTCCCAAATGATGTGTAAAGGTAATTATTGCATCATGTATCATCTTAACATTGAATTAACAAATGTCTAAACTTAGTCACGATGAGAGTCTAATTAAAAGCATTTGGTATTAAACAAATTAAAAAAAATTATTACATTATAAGTTATTTTGGATTGAATTTTTTATTGCTTATATATAAGTGACGAATTAATTTAATCAAGCAATGCTCTACCTTAGATAGATATATTATTATATTATATAGACTGCAATAGGCATCATTGTTAAATTGTTCTTTCATCTACAAAACAAGCCACCAACCGTTGTTCATTGGTTGGAATCTATACTTCAAATATATATGGGTTTGTGCATAATTACCAGTTAAGGGCATGACCTCAACATACTACATTAAAACTCAAGTCCCTTCCACTTAGAAATAGCTTATATTAACTAAGGAAATAATTTATTCCAAAGGGAGCTCTACAAGATTATTTCTGTAATAGGAGGAGATAATAATTAATTTATTATTCTTTCATATACAGATACACAATAGGAACCATGCTAATTAAAGTTAGATCTTAATTGCTGCCTAAAATACCATATACTAACAGATATCTTTAGTAGTGAAAAAAAAAAATCAAAAGAATGTAAACTGTTCTGAGCCCTACCAAATTGATCACATTTTTTCTAACTAAAAATTAAATATTTTTTTAACTGATTCAAGAACCAAATGTTCTTTCAAAACCATTTCGGTTTAAGAAACAATCACTTTACTAATTCAGTTCGATTCAAGATAAAAACCAAACCGTGTTATATTTTTCTGAAGCAGTTCAAAACACTAAACCATTTTCAGTGTAGCGATTTAGAAACCGAACTATTTTCTAAATCAGTTCAATTTGCCCAAATCAAATAACTTCTTGATTTTATTTGGTTCGGTTGGGTATAAAAAGCAGAACCGAATCGTGGACACCGCTGACCTTTTTTGACACATAAAATCATGCAACCCGTTGAAAAAATTATGCAACCAGTTGTTTTGCATATACACACAAAAATATAGATATGGTACAGCTAGATTTAGCTAGTTCGTGAAATTTCGTTTGAAAATGGGGTTAGGTAATTGTTACACGAAATCAGTATGCTTGGAATTTAGAACCCCACATGTCAATAAATAAACGACACCTTAGCCCTTAGGCCTTAGCTGTACGTACTCCGCGTTACAGAAGAGCTAGTCGTGCAGCTTTTCAACACTTGCTTCTGTTTGGATCTCTTTCTCATTCACTCATGTGAGTTGTCACTAGGGATGAAAGTGAGCTGTGCTGGATCAAATTTTGTTCTGACAAATTCAAGTTTATGTCAAAAAATTTCAATTTAGCTTGACCCAGGCCTTTTACTTAGTCTGGCTTGGCTCGTTTATAAAAAAATAAATGACTTGGCCTAACTCATTAGCTTGTTAATCTTTGTGTGAATCAAGTTCACAAAATACTTAAATTTTGTTGCTAAATCAAAAATCACAATTTCAACGTCCAAACAGAATTATGAATCACAACAAAACTCATCACAACCTGTATTTAAGTAACTTTCAAAAGCAAAATGCTCAAACTAAATAACATATATTTTATAAGCTCCAACAAACAAATCCATACTATGTAAATTAAAATAACTACATGAATCCAACAAACACATCATGATGCTTGTAGTAAGTATAACTTCTTCCAAAAACCTTTTAATATATTCTTATACACAATCTAACATGTTGAGATATTGGTTCCTCCTACATAAGAAATAAAGTCAGATTTCTATTATGTAATCGAATATAATTGAGTTATAAATAATTGCAATTGATTAAATTTATATCTTTTGTTTTTTTCAAGACATACTTATTCTATTTTATTTTATTTAAAATAAATAGTATAATATATGCTGGCATGTAGGCTTAAAGGCCATGCCTTGTGAAAGTCAGCCTACGGCCTATTTATTAAACAAGTTTTTTCAAGGCCCAAGCCCAGCCTTTTTTACGAAATATACTAGGTCAGGTCTGGCCTAATGTAGGCCGAGCCATAGGCCCTTGTAGGCCGGCCCCGCCCAGTTTCATCCCTAGTTGTCACACATTCATTCAAATATTTAGTTTTTGTTTAAAAAAATAATGGACTCCACCGTATCTTTGTATCAGCTGCAGAAAAGAAAACTTTGCAGCAACTGCTGAGATACAAAACCTATAATTTATATGAGATTTAATTTTTTTTTGGTAAAATATATATATGAAATTTAAATTTCTTATTTAACGGGAGAAATTAAACTTTTGCAGCTGACCCAAATGATTGTGGGGCTCGCCGTCAATTTTTTTAAATACTTCAGTAATAAGGAGAATACACTTCTGGAGTCATATGAAAAGTGTATTTCCTAATATATATATATATATATATATATATATATATATATATATATATAGTAAATACTATTTTTGGTCCTTGACAATATCTACGAAATCCTTTTTTGTCACTGGCAATAAAAAAGGACCAAATTGGTCTCTAAAATTATGAAAAAAGGGCCAAGTTAATCCTTATGTCAACTCCTCCGTCACTAACGTGGCCCTTTTTACATACTGTTAGGGACCAATTCGGTCCTTTTTTATTGCCAGGGACTAAAAATGATTTCGTAGATATTGTCAGGGACCAAAAATGGTATTTACTCATATATATATATATATATATATATATATATATATATATATATATATTGGATCCCTTTTTATGTGTAAGAATTTAGAATTTTTATGCAAATTATGTATTATGGGTAGGATGTATTTATAATATAAAAAATAATTTTTAATATTATAACTATATACTTTCAGGAATACATAGTTATAAGAGATATTAAAAAAAAATTAATATTATAATTATGTAATTCCAAAATACATAGTTTGCAGGAAACTTTAAATTCTTGCTATATGAGAGCCTATTATCCCATATATATTGTCTTACTCTACTTTTTATTTTATATTTATGTATTTTCCTTTCCATTTTCACTTACTTGACATGTAATAATTAATCACCAGCAAACTAAATTATAAATTCATATTTTTATTCAATAAAATAAAATGCAAATATTATATATGCTTCGCTTCTCTTTATATATAGTTAAAGTAGTTGATTAGGCGTTTACCAAAAAAAAAAAAAGAGTAGTTGATTAGGCAAAAATGGATTTTTCTAGTTAGGAATTAAGTTTAATGACGAAGCTTTTAACAAATAGAAAGGGTTATGGAAATTTATTATGCTAAATAATTAGAACTTTATTCACTTCATATATCTAATAATCTATATACAGAAAACTAAGTTGTAAAGTGGTCATTGAATAAAAGAAAGACATAAGCTCTATTATATATCTAAAGTTTCAACGAAATTGTAATTTAGTCCCCAATTTTTTTTTCATCTTAATCTCAACATTATTAAATCGTTTAATGTTATCTTTTTTTGTTAACAGAAAGTGCTAACATGCATATAGATATAACTAGTTGATTACCCGTGTGATGCACGGAGAAAAAAGAAATCGGTTTGTTTGTCCCGTAAATGAATTAATAAGAAAATCGATTTGTTCGTATGACATAAACGTGTAACTTTTAAGGTAGGAACAAAAAAAGAATATAATAATTTAAACACAGTAAATTTCATGGTTGACAGCAAAATCTCCATTAAAAAAATCTAAATGTCATGTTGACAGCAATATAATAAGAAATATGCCCAACCGATACTCACAACAGTTGTAAAATATCGTCCGCCATGCACTATTGGTATTTGCTACTGTTCGAAATGAATCATAAACAATAATTGGAAAAGAAAAAATTATTGAAGGGAATTATATAGTTTATGGCAGATGAATAATTCAGAATTACAATAAAAACCTTTGACTCTGAAAAATGACAAGGGTATAATATACTGATTGTGCCTCGAATACTGAATCTGCATAACAATAAAAAATTAGTAGAAAAATAGGCATAACAACTAAAGGAAATCAACAAAGAAGATTAAAAAATATTTTCTGATAAAAAATTGAGATCTTACCTGATACCAAACAACAATGTTATCTCTTTGTAGAAATAACCAAGTATACTACACTAATCTTTGAAATACTTCCTTGTAGACGATGTTAAAGGTAGTATTTGTAACGCAACCATTTTCATCAAGTATCAGCATCTTCAATCCATGTCTGCTCTTTACTCTAGATAGTGCCATATATGATTGCCCATGAGTGAAGACAGGCCTAGGAAGATAAATGCCAACATGAGACAGCGACTGTCCTTGACTTTTGTTGATAGTCATCGCAAACGAAACTACCAAGGGGAATTGTCTTCTTTGGAAGTTTACTGGAAATGTATGACCCGATGGGCTGATCGTCATTCTAGGGATTAACACAGTATCTCCTATTTTGTTTCCTGTAAGAACAATTGCCTCAACAACATGATTCTCCAACTTTGTAATAAGTAATCTCGTACCGTTGCATAAACCTCTTGATTGATCAATATTTCTCAATAGCATCACCGGTACTTTAACCTTCAAAGTTAATTTATGATCAGGAATCCCCGAACATGAGAATGTATTTAAGATATCAGGGGAGATTTCGTCATCCTCAAGAGATGAATTACCGTCTTGTTTCAAAACCTTATCTGAACTCAAAAATGTCCTTTCTTCACCCGGAATCACAGCCATTAGGTACTCGTTTAACATGGTAGCATCGGACAATTTAGGAGTCAGAAGAGCACGTTCTTTAAAGATAGTAGGATCTAATATATTATCCATCAGATTCGGGTAAACAAAATCAACAATATCTGAAAGTGGGTCTTCTGTACCTTTGATCAACAATTCATCTGGAATTGTTATAATAGATTCTCCATCAACATCATCCCCAAGATCACCATCTCCTATTTTAAGCAGCCACTCAAAAAATTCTTTTATTTCCAACAAATTATTAGTGCTACTTCCAGAATTGAGACGCATGTTCTTGGTCAAAGATAACAGATGACAATGGGACCATAGATAGGAAGAATTGATGGTTTCATGAACTATATCTTGTCTACTGCCATTTGGAATGACATGTAATATTTGCCGAAAGACACCTCCTAGAACGACAACTTTTCCACCAAAGGGCATATCAACATAGTTGGTATCATTAAATCTAAGAACATCTCTAAGTGTTCTATCAAGAGCCTCAAAGCAAAATTTGTGTACCATCGGTGCTTCATCCCAAATGATTAACTTTGTTTTTGACAACAACTCTGCCAAAGTAGAATTTTGTTTTATATTACATGTTGAATCTTCGGTGATCTGTATAGGAATACGAAATCTAGAATGTATCGTACGTCCTCCAGGAAGAAGAGGGGAAGCAATTCCGCTAGAAGCAACATTAAGCACTATTTCAGCTCGAGATCGAACAAATGCTGACAGAGTGTTCCAAATAAATGTTTTTCCAGTCCCACCAAAGCCGTACAGGAAAAAAAATCCTCCTTTACCTGCCGAAACAGCTGAAATTATTTTGTCATAAACAACCCTTTGCTCATCAGTGAGTGAATTCAGTAGTCTGTCATGCTCTTCTTTCAAAGAGAATCTGTCATACAAAAATTCATCCATCACCAATCTATTCTGCATATCCAATAAAGATTCATCGATGATGCTCGGCATGGATGGGTAATCAGAGAGGCATTTACTGTTGCTTTGCAACACCTTATCGATTTCTGCAAGGGTTATGTTTTTTATAGAATCCTCTGTAAGCAAATCATCTGAAAAATATTGAAAAATACAAAAAAAAAAGGATTAACAAAGATAAAGTTGGTGAGAAGAGAAATTATGAACAAAGCAGAGGGTGTGAAACGTAACGAAATTTTTTAACCAAATATTAAGAATAGGACGGTGTATAATGTATAGATGTAATTTTATTATGAAGGAACAAAAAATGCTCACATTTTTTCGAAGGCAAGTGAATTAAACATAAGCAAACTGTTTGCATAAATGAATGCACGATACAGAACGACAAGAATATTAATTATAGTGCACAATACACATAAATGAATGCACAAAATTTGTTCCGGACAATTACCTTCACGTCCAATTCTTTGCCTATGCCGATAAAGAACATCGTCAGATAGTAATTCCCAGCATTTTTGGAAAACATTTTCAGGCTTGTTCATTGAGTTACCAAATAACAATAAGGCAAACAAATTTCTCAGATAAGTTGCTGACCCCCAAGAACTTGCCTCCTTAATTGCATCAATGTACTCATTGTCATCATCCAAAAGCCCCAAAGAATAACAGACATCCTTATATGTAGGAAAAAGCACCCCATTGACCGTTCTCAAATCTTCATAACTTGTACAACCCTTTTGAAAATTAAGTAAAGTTCGGAGATAGGAATCTTCTCCATTATTGGCAGAAAAACGATTTATTCTTCCAATTGAAAATCCTTGTTTTCTGGGATGCCATTCATGCGTACTTTCTTTATATACAAATTGAGTTGGATACTTGATGCTCACCGGCAAGTGTACCGATCGCACAAGTAATATAGAAAGTAACTAAAGTATCGTCTCCACAGGGATTGGGTCGAATATCAATTAATCGTTCCTTTCAAGAATGGAAGAGTTCAAAAGGGTTTTGACAAATATTGTCGGTTAGTGTAAAATTGAGAACTTAAAATAAAGACTTGTTTTTGAATTTTTAATTATGAGAAAAAGACAATAAAAATGAGAATTGATTTGTAAAAATGAGAAAAGTATTGTAGCTAGAGCGCACTCACCTTATGATCCCCACTTCTTATTTTGGATTGACTTACAACATTCATTTATAAAATTACTCGAATAAATTATTATCTAAAATAATTAGTTAAATCTCAATCCCTTAGCAATTTAACCCTTTAATCTCAATTGGAATCCTAATCCCTTAGCAACCCCTCATGAAAATTAAGCGATGAACTCAATAATTTAGGCATCCGCAATTCAATACACATCTATTCCTAGCATGCATACGAACCGTTATCCTACCCCCTTTCAGGATGAAAACCCCAATATCCCTATCTAGGGTTCTAACCCTCAGACTATTATCAACTATTAGAGTGATCAATTTTAATAAAGAAAATATAAATTACGAACAGGGTAGAGATAAAGATAATTATATAAACGAAGAATTATAAATCAATCCAGCGTAAAAAGGGTTCACAGAGGGCTGGTGACCCTAACTACAATAAAAAGAAACTAGCCAAGCATAATCATGGCTAAAAATTCAATATTCAATAACAGCATAAAATTAAAGTTAAATAGATGAAGAAGAAGAATTGTGGAAGAATCCTCCTGAGCACTGCCGTCAGCCTCCTTCTGAATGGAATGCGATCCCCAGGGTTCTGTTAAGAGGATATATTTATAACCTTGCTTCTTTCTTCCAAAATTACCCTTCGCGCAGCACAATCAAATTTCCCGCAAACCGGCGTTAGTTGGCGCCGGTTTGGCGCAAGTTTGCGCCGCGCCTCTGTCTGATATAAAAAGTCGGAACCAGATTCTCGAAAAGTGGCGCCAGTTGGCGCCATAGTGGCGCTACTTGGCATGGAATGGCGCTACTTGGCTTCATGGCGCCACTTTGCTTCACTTGGCGCTGGTTGGCATGGTGGCGCTAGTTTGCGCCATTCTGGCGCCAACTAGCGCCAATTCTCTAGACTTTGGCCTATGCGACATGATGCAACATGGAACTTTTCTGTGTGTGGAGTCGCGTTAACAGGCTTTTTATAATTTGTAATTTCCACTCCTCTTTTTTCTGTAAAAACACAACCAAAAGGTGAATATTATTGACATAGAAAGAATCAATATAAATAGCAAATATTTATTTAAATTGCTCTCTTATGACTCAATTCTTATCAATTTTAACACAGAAAAACCACACTTGCCAGAGGCACATCAATACTCTGCATAAGTAAGATTCCTACCTTCTTGATATTTTTTATTTGCATCCATCCAAGACTCGAACATTGATTGTCTAGACTCCGCCCCAGTCTTGACATCGGTTATTGAAGCATGATCACTAAAAACAACGCTTTTTTCATTGGGTAGGTGAAATGGCAATCGCTGAACAGGGGGGAATCTGTAATGAATCTCAAATCCGAATATTCTCCAAGCAGCTTCACATGCGGACACATACCTATCATATATAAGCAATAAATTCAAATTAAGTTAGAAAAGGTTATTCGAAGTAACGAAAGGAAACATAACCGATATGAATTCAACAACCTGCAATCATAAACATTTTGATTTCATCATCTGAATGATTTATAGCAGTTGTCACCATGTCTTACCCTTTATGGATGTATTTAAAGAGATATTTAATGGCACTACTCTAACAAGTATATTCAACATTGATATGCGCTTGATATTTTAGAAGTTTTGCATTATACGGCACAACATAACAGTTATCAAGTTCAACGCCGTTCTTTTTGACAACACTCCCATCATTTCTTCTTCTATAACGAGGGAATCCATTATCATCAATAAAAGTACGGGAGCAGAACTTCTTGGGAAATTTCTTTGAACAATGTCCGTTCTTCATGCAAGGAGACTTGTAATTGTCAGGACCACAGGGTCCATGCATCATATAACACGTGACAGCTGCAAAAAGTGAAGGATTGGAATCTTTGTTAGGAATCTCAGCTGAAATCAAGTTATCAATGTCAAGTCCAGTATTAGGCTTTTTGGAGGGATGCAAGAAAAGTAGAATATGAGCATGAAGCAGTCCACGTTTCTGAAAAGATAAAAATATACGCACTATCTTTTCGGTTGTTTACACTATCTTTCTGGTTCTGCTGATGCAACGGCACTGTCGCAAGCCTTGTCAAATAATCTTTCATCCTGCATTTAAAACAAATATTTTGAAAAAAATCAAATCCATTGAAACGCAGAATGAGAACAACAAAACCTAAATAGAAATAATAATGTTAATAAAAAAAATTAACTCACACTCGTATCCACAACAGTCTTAAGGAAGGATGTGATTACAGGTTCGCTTATACATACTTTAGAAATCTGATACTTAGGCTCACTGTATGAGTCCAAATTATTATTTTTTCACATTCACTTTAAACAACATGGATTTATCAATAAGAACATTAAGTTCCTTAGGATAGTGCTCCAAATCAACACCCTGCAAAAAAATATTAATGAAATTTTAATAAGAACTTTAAATGAATAAAAAAATGAGTGGAATAAGAACACAAACCCTTTTGAAATGCTGCTCACGTAAATCCGCAGCACTCATGCCCAACAAAGCGACACAATCTCTATCAAACAGAATGAAAGATGCAGAATCAGTGTGATCCACAACTCTCAACTGCACACAAAATCTGCAACACATGACCACCGATTGTGTTATTTATAAATAAAACGAACGATGTAATAATAACAACAACAAAAATAGATATAAAATCTTACTTTGGATAATAATCATCCAAATGTTTTTGGCAGTTTTTACAATACCATTTCTCGAAATCTTCACAAACAGAATATGGACATTTATTACAGGACTTGTACCACCAATTATATTTGCTCTCAATCAATTTTATGGTTCGATAAGTAATGCAAGTAGTAACCTCACTGCAATTCTTAACATCACTGATACACTTCCTTTTCGTCTCTTTCAGGAAATCATTCTCAAAAGAATATGAGGACTGACTTGATAACTGAGACAATGTGTAAACGCTATCAATGACATCAGACGAAAGCCTAAAAAATAGCAACATTACAAATAATCAGCGATAAATAATAAAGAAAAGAGCAGAATAATGAAATAACAACAGCTCGCACCTTTTTTTGAAGTCGACAATTCTGGTACATTGGGATCGATAATTATCCTCGTCGTATACTTTGTATTTGTTATTCCAATTTTTCCTTTAAAATTTATTATCAATTTAAAAACCATAAGGAGGGAAATAAACTAAAACATTCCATTATGAAATCATAATCAAATATATAAGTGAACTCACCCCTGAAACCCTTTATTCTAGCAAGCTGAACTATCATCACGTTTTGAGGAGACTGATTACTCCCCAAAAATTGTTGCACCTGGTCCACGTAGTCCTCCCAGAGAGTGCACTCGAGCTTGTGAGCCCTACTTGCACAGTTTTTGCAACAAATAACGAAATAGAATTTTACATCAAATGAACATAACACATAACAAATAACCAATAGATACCTGAGATTATCAAGCTCCACGACTACCATTTTTGTCTTCCTACCGGAGATAATATGCTTACGAACTTCCCCTATTCCAGAAACTAAACCGATGACATCTACACATTAAGGATGGTTAGACAGATGATATCGTCACACAAACAACAAAAGCATAACTTACAGCATGAACAGGTCAAAATCTACAAACCTACTAAATAAGGGGAATCAGAAGACTCTTTCTTTATAACGTCAAAATCTACAAAATCAAATCCATTGGTGGGAATAGCAGAATCAATAGTGGATTTTACATCAGTCCTCAAGTTGAAAGACAAACGATAATCATGCTTAGTTGGCCTGAAACTACCACTATTCAAACCAACTCCAAAAAATTTTATGAAATAAACTTCTCCTTCGTGAATTTTTTTACGGATATGCAAAGAACCCTTGACAGCAGCATGGACCCTTCCACCCTACAAAACGCATGCATAGATTAGTACATTTTAAAAACATGGACCGCAAACCAACACTAATATAAAAGAAAAACAAAAACAAATACCTTTTCATCTAACAGAATCATCTCTACGTTGTCGTCAAAATGTTTTTGCTGAAAATTAGGAACCTTCCATGTTCTAACAACTCTAGCCTCAATCCTCCACTCCTCCTTAGTAGGATTAAGATCCTTAATAAAATTATACTTGGAATACATAACCAAACGTATATGAGGTAATATTGGCTCAAAGCCTTTGAGGACAAAGAAAAAAACGAAATAGAGACGCTACAAATGTGCCCAAAGAAGCTGATCAGCAAACGAACATATGTTGTTCCAAATACCTATTTATACACGAATATGCACTATTCGGTTACAAAATGGTCATTTAATTATTCGATTTAAAAATTAAAATTCGATTTTTAAAAGAAATTCTTTTCCCACCATCCATATTTCAAAATTTTAAACCATTTCAAATTTTGAATTTTAGATCAGATGACCAATTCCAACATAAAAAGCAATTAAAATAGCTGATTTCTTTTTGGATACCAATGTGATGGGCAGTGGGACATTCAATGCCTTGTCTTCCACCACAAATGGACATTTAATTATTCGATTTAAAAATTAAAATTCGATTTTTAAAAGTAATTCTTTTCCCACCATCCATATTTAAATTCAAAATTTTAAACAATTTCAAATTTTGAATTTTAGATCAGATGACCAATTCCAACATAAAAAGCAATTAAAACAGCTGATTTCTTTTTGGATACCAATGTGATGGGCAGTGGGACATTCAATGCCTTGTCTGCCACCACAAATGGTCATTTAATTATTCGATTTAAAAGTTAAAATTCGATTTAAAAATTAAAATTCGATTGTTAAAAGAAATTTTTTTTCCCACCATCTATATTTAAATTCAAAATTTTAAACCATTTCAAATTTTGAATTTTTGATCAGATGACCAATTCCAACATAAAAGCAATTAAAACAGCTGATTTCTTTTTGGATACCAATGTAATGGGCAGTGGGACATTCAATGCCTTGTCTGCCACCACAAATGGTCATTTAATTATTCGAATTTTAAAAGAATTTTTTTCCACCATCCATATTTAAATTCAAAATTTTAAACCATTTCAAAATTTGAATTTTAGATCAGATGACCAATTCCAACATAAAAAGCAATTAAAACAGCTGATTTCTTTTTGGATACCAATGTGATGGGCAGTGGGACATTCAATGCCTTGTCTGCCACCACAAATGGTCATTTAATTATTCGATTTAAAAGAATTTTTTTTTCAATTTACTCAATAAAGAAAGTTTGTATATGCCATGTAGTGTGAATACAATTTGTAGAATTAACAAGGAAGTGACACTTGGCAAAACTTTCCAACATTGAACTCTCCTTTATATGTATATAGATGTGGCCATTTTGAATAATATATATATATATATATATGGAGATGGATGAATTTAAAAATTGAGATTTTCAATAGTAAGAGTGAATTATTGTGGAATTAGAGCTATTGTATGCTTAAAGGGTGTAGTATATTGCTATATAGGTGTTCAAAGTAATAGTGATATGAACCAAAGGTCAAGAGAGACACCGTAAGTGTTACCTTATGTATGACTGAGAAAGGGTGAATGCGTGAGCGTACTATAATAACCCAAACCAGTAAAATGAGTAATTAAGAATTTTTCACATTTATCATATAATAAATAGATTAAAAATCTAATTATGAAATGAATTAGATACAAAAATCTAATTTTTACAAATTAAGTCACTTTTAATAAAAGTGCAGTTACAGAGAGAGTTTGGGGGTAAAATACCATATTTACCTAAAACATGTAAATAAATTACCGAGAAACTAATTTAGGAAAATTATGAGATGGAAACACATGTTTAGAAAATACTAAGTATTGGCTAGAAATTAAGTAAGAAAGTGAGGAGCAATAAAAAGTTACCATGTTTAGTGGTGTGACTAATGTCTACCGATCACTTAATTGACTCAAGAAAAAAAAGAAAGAGACACTCACACAACACAAATAAGCTTATTCTCTTTTCTTCTTCGACAAACCTTATGAGAGGAGAAAGAAAGTTTGAGTGAAAAACTTACAAAATCCATAACTTGAGCTAGAGACTAGAGTCAACGAAAATTGAGTGATTTCAAAGCTAAAGTAGCTTGGAATTTCATCCTCTACAAATCTATATACTAGTATTCACGAGTGGGGCTTTGTGTGGAGAGAGTTTTTGTCCCTCAAATTTTAGGATTCATATGAAGTTTGTGATTTTTGGAGCTTTTCAACCAATGAGAGCTTGGAAACTCACTTTTCCTTCGTTCTAATGTTGATTGTGGTAAGAAATCTCCTCTCAAATCAAGTTCTCATTAAGAATTTATTGAAGTTAGGTTTCTTATGAATAGGGTTACGAAATTTTGGGGCTTTGATGAGTTAGAGGTTGTTTTGTGTGTGAAAGTGTTCACGATTGAGAAAATGGATTGTTGATGATGGATTGTTGTTGTATGGTGGTGTAGTGTTGATCCTTGTAATATGGATGTGGAAGATCACTCTTTGGAGCCAACCATTGTGCAAGATTAAGATTAGTGAAAATTCCTAAGAGATTAAGTTGATTCATGGAACTATGGATGAATGTTCTAGCCAATATCTCAGTGTTTATGTGTTGTATGTATGTTAATCATAATCTCATTTTGTACCTTATGTTGCCTTTGTGTGGATTGTGATGTGAGGCTCTTACATTAGAGAAAAGCGAAAAAGAGGAAGTATGCAAAAGAGGTAAACTTCGGATCCTAGGGTTTACCCATTGTGTGTTCTATCATGCTCCTTTGGAGTAGTTGTTGCTTTATATTTGTGCATGGTAGTAGCATGATATGATAGATGGCATGTAGAGTTGCATGATGCAATTATTGAGAATATTTTTATGAATGATAGATTATATAAAAGAATGATTGAAAGTATGCTATGAATGATAGATGAATTGGTGTTATGTATGAAGACAAACTCTAGCCAGTTGAATTTGTGTTTGTTACCTTCTATGGGCATGGTAATATGACCTCCATAAGTTGGTATGTGTAGCCTTTTCATGAGTATGGTATTATGACCTCCATGAGGGTAGAAGCCTTTGAGACAGAGGAGATCATGAAAAGACTACACTAGAAAGGAACTCTCCATGGGTATGGTATTATGATCTCCATGAGGGTATCGGCCTAGGGGATGATTCAAAAGTCTCTTGGGAGTTTTTTGGATATGAGATATGTAATGATATGATGAGATTGTATATGATTGCTATGTTTATGTTATGCATGTACAATAAGTGAATTACAGGGTGAAGTGACCTCCAATGGCCCTTAGTTTACTAAGATTTTTATCTTACCTATGTTGAGGATTTCATTTCAAGTACTACCACTGATGATGAAGGCACATCACTAGGTAAGAGGTCAAAGATAGCTTGACATGTGGATGTGTTTATATTTTGGTGCATAGATGGCATTTAGACATGTTTATTTTGTATATTCACATTATATGATATATGTTATGAGAACTCATATGAACCTATTGTAATTTGAGGCCTAAACATTGGCTATATGTATATTACATGATTCCTATGATATGTATTTTGTTTAGAGCACATTGTATATGAATCATGTAATTCGGATGTGTAATGAGACTTATATCCAAGAGACTATAATTATGTAATTGTGTAATTGGACATTACATCATGGTTTTGTACTTTCATGTGTTGATATTGGAATATGTCGTTTTGTAAATTCATGGACCTGTGGGTAAAGTGGCATGAATAGGATATTATGATATTAACAATTGTAAGGAAATATTCAAATATGTACTTATGTAGATGATTATGATGATGTAATGATCCATTGATGGATTGCATATGGTAAAGCTTTGAAATGGCTAGGAATATCATGAGATTATATATGTTGTCCATAAGGTGATATTAGGATAATGGAAATTATTCCCAGATGTCCAAATTACAAAGGAAATATCATCCATTTCATTTTTGGCCATTGAGAAGATGAAATAGATACATATGCAATACATAAGGAATAGAAAAAGAAAATTTTAATTTACTTATTCACTTAGGTGTAATTGTTGGTGAGCCTTACACCAGGATAGTTTATGGAAACTACTTGGTAGATGATGTTAGGCGTATGCATTTTGTTTTCTGCTTTATGTATGAGTTGCAATTACGTATTTGAATTATGTTAGTACGGAACCCATGTGTCAAGAAAATAAAATGAAAAATTTATCTGTAATTTTAATTCAACTATTGTGATTGTAACTGCACTTAATATCATACTTAATGTTAACAAACCGGTTCTAGAATGGGGTGTTATAGGTACAGTGACTCTAGAATTTGGCAGGGTAACAACTTAAAAAAATGATGAATGCAAGATATCTTCTCAAGTGGAGAGGAGGGGTGTATATAGATGGAAAATATTCTCTAATAATAAGAGAGAAGAGAGTCTAATCATTTTTGCCTAATGCCTCACTACATGAGTAGTAAGGATGTGTATCATTACGTGTGCATGTGCATGAGAGTGAGGGATCCTTTATATTGAGGTCCATATGGCCACTATAGGAAAGCATGGGTATGACTCCTTATTGGACCCTTACAAGCCAGCCTAAATATATTGGATTATGAAAATGGATCCAAAACAGAAAGCTTACTTCTTCAATGGTAATGTGTGGTTTAAAATGATGTGAAAAAAAAATTCAAGGTTTTAAGATTCCACAAAGAGAACAATCATATAGAAAGCTCAAATTTAAAATAATAGCCACCATATTAAATTTCCAAAGCCAATGCTAGACCACTTGGGATACAAACCTAACAGAAAAATCCATCTTTTTTTTAACTAATTTGACCTACACCTCGAAATTATCATCTCCCAAAAATAAAAATATCAACACCCTTGTTGTGTCCTCCACCCTTAATCAAGAACATCATATAAGCTCTACACTCAAAATATATAAAACTTTCAATAATGCCAACCATGAATAGAAAAACATGTCACTAAGAATGTCAGAAGAGTTCATTAACACATCTAGTGGCTTTTAAGATTAGAGATGGTCAAGGATGGTGACTTTTAATAACATATAATAAGTTTTCATTTTAGATATATAATCTCTTGCACTATTTTGGAAGGGAAATATGTTTATGTTTTTACTGTAAGTTTTTTTTCTGC